GGACTCAGAGAGGCTCTTCCTGTCTGTGCAACACTTACATTCAGAAGGACACAGCTGACAGCTCTTAGACAAGAAGAAAAAAAAAAAAAACCTCAGCAGCCTAACTACATTAAAATACACACAGTCAAGGACAAGCCAGTAACTTTTTAACCAGGTGCTATGGTGCCTCATTTTGAAAGACTGTAAAGATTTTATATTTGCAGCTGCAACTAGTACGTGCCATGAGAATGGGCCATGGGAGCCCCACGTGAAGCATTAATTCAGAACCTTTTAATACTATCTGAGATGGGGGTCCATAATTTGGGGTAAAAGTTTCTCATATCCCATTGTTAAACCCTAGCATCAAGCCAAACCTAAGATGCTGAATTTCTGAAAGCAAATATTGCATGCATTATGTAATGTGCCATGTGTCTTATGCCACTAATGAAAAACATTCTTCTTTTTAATCTGTTCCTTACACTTCTCTAGGTGAATAAAGTGAAAGAAGAAAAGGCAGTTTTGACAACGGAAGTTAGTAAGCAACAAAAACTGTTGGAAAAGTGTAACAGAGGTGTGTTTTTTTCAACAGGTTCCTTCTCCCCCACTGCCCTCTCTCTAACAGTTTGGTACATCCTTTACAAATAATCTTGAGAGCTTTTATAATGCAGTACAAAGAATACATTACAAAACTGACTGCAGGCTTGATCTGACACTCAGGCCTCATCGCTGTAGGCACTGCACAAATACACAAGCTATTCTAGACTGTCTCTACTCTAGGGAGATGTAATGTGATGGTGTAAATAGAAGGATAAATGCAGACTAGGGCAGGAGGGGAGTTTGAACCAGAGATGGAGTTTGAATCCTAATCTTATGTTACTTTCTTAAATTGTTATATTAGCCTGCCTTTTAGTTGAGTCACAGCTAATAATTTTGAGTATCTAAGGTCTTGGGAGCACGTGGTCGTGCGTTCAGCGGGTGCAGGGAACGGGACCAGGATGCTGAGAGTGAGGTCAATGGGATTTCCAAGCTGTGGAATGAAAGCGGGGACCCAGCCAAGTGGGAAGAGAAGAGAGGTAAAACAGGGACGGGGACTGGAGATAATCTACAGAGAAATAGGACTCAGGAAAGGAAAGGTTTTTCTTAATGAAGGAGAATGCTTCCGAATGAGAAATAGTTGGCTCAAAAGCAGTTGGCGGGGGGGCATGGAGGGGAAGATTTTAGTGGCTTGGGTTACCTTGCATTTTTCTGTTGTTTGTTTAGCCCTGTCAAATTAAAGCTTGCAGGTTAAATGTCTCCATGGCTGTTTCACATTTTCCTAAAGTGGCGGAGAACGGGACTGGCCTCCAACACCTGTTTTTTTTCTTGATGTTTTACTTGTTCTGCCTTCCAAAGTCATTCAGTTACTTGTTCAACAGCACCTTAACAATATACCCTGGAAGAATTCAGCCACATTCGCAGTGCCTAATGCTATTCTGATTTATCTTCAAGTTGTTGCTCTGCAGTTGTCTTCCACCTCCTTGCATAGGGAGAAAAATAAAAAGCGCCCGTCCCATCTCCCAGGAGTTCTGACGTGGTGGTCAGGTAGTGCAGGGAACTGCCAAGGCTGCCATGTCCTCACAGGAGGACCAACATCCAGCTACGGGCGGGTGAGAGTCACACAGGGAAACCCCAGAAGGCAACCTCTGAAGTAGCAAAGGTGCCAAACGTGCTCTCCTGGCCTGCCAATAATGCTCCCTTTTTCTTTGGAAAAAGTATACTAGGTCAGCATAGTCTGTGTGCTTGAGAAAACAGCTGGGTTTTGAATTACCGAGACACGTATGGCCTTTTAGTGGGAAATGATCCTCTCTCCTTCCCCCTGCAGTCCGTTTTCTCATCTTCTGTCAATCTTGCAGCTGCGCCTCACAGGGAGAGGAGATGTGCAGAGCAGTAGGGCATACTCTGTTACCTTTCACCAAGTGTTCGCTCCTCACCTCTTGCAAGTGTCTGTATTGCTTTGCCCTATGACAGGCAATACTTGGAAACTCTTAAAACATCAAACTTAATGATAGATAGATTAGATAGACCAGCCAGAGGAAGCTTTTGATGGGATGGTATGGCAGTTGAAAGGTTTCTGAAATGTTTTCTTTTTCCTCAGTGTGATCGAAAGAGCAACCCTTTGGTTCACATTTGATACCTGTTTTTGAGGAAGGGGAGAGGGGGCTGTACCAGGATAGGTCCTAATGCACTGGCAATGTAAGCCAAGATTTTTATATGTTTCAAATGAGCTACCAAAGCGTATTGCTGCATATTGAATAGACACCTGCTGTATTCTGTGTTTCTGTGATGCTGTCTTGGAGTTGTGTAATCAGTACCTTCCCATCAAAGTTGGTGAAATTTTCTTTTAAATCTTTCTAAGTGTATTTTTTAAAAAGAAAGTTGATATCACTTTGAGAGTCAGATGGGATGAGATGTGTTTTCCACTGTCTAAAGTACCACTTATGGCACTTAGCTGTAAAAACTGTTATGCTTGTCTGCAAAGAAGCAAGGGACTTGTGTAGGACAGTTTTAGAAATCCATTGTCATCACTCTGGAAACTAATCTGCAGCCAGTAAGAACTGAAGATTATATTTGCTGTCCTGGACTGAGGTCTATTCAGAATAGTTTGGAGAAGCATTCCCCATGGTTAGCTTTAGCCACCTGTGTCAGCTTTGCTTGCGTGAGCACAGTTTAAACATGGGCAACACAAAATCGTGCTAGTTTCTTCTTGAAGCTCCTTTAAATCTCTGATGTAAAGGGATGCTTTTTACCCCACTTAGGCCAGATGCCTCCAAAACACATGTAATCTTTGGGTTGAGCAAGGCTCTCTTGAGTCTTTTATTGCTCATGCCCAAGAAGGGAAAACGTCATCTTGGCTACCTGGTGTTTGTTACCATAGTCTTGAGTCTGGGCTCCACCAAAAAACGGTCTCTCTACCTTTAGTTACTCCTTTTCTAGAACAAGTTAGAAAGAAGTAGATCCATGGCTCAGTGTAACTTTCTGGTCAGTATGGAGGGATGACCATTTATATGCCAGTCTAACAGAACAGAAACTCAGATTTCTCAGTTAAGTGTAATTAATACCCTGCCAAACTGGGGGAGGGGAGGCTCTTCCAAGGAGACCTGAGGAACTTCTTAATGAATAGAAGTTAATTTTTATTTTGCTTCCCTTACCTAGCTTAAGAGGAAGACAAAAATGCTGCAGGAGTAGGGGTCATGACTTCTGTGGTTTTTGTAGCACTTGGTGCTGTGGGGACTGCAGACAACTAATAACGATTCGTTATTTCTGTCGCATTCCTGCATTAAAATCTCTTAACTGGCAATGATGTAGCGTTAGGTGAGAGGCATATGGGGAAAAAGAGCAAGAAGGGACGGGGTCAGAGATGGTAATCTCTGGACAGAGCAGTTTACGCTTCCTTTATAATTATAAGGGTAAAATGGCTATGGAATTGGTCTAACTTTGCATTATTGTGCTGAATGCCAAAATAAAACTAAGCTAAAAAACATCAGGTGTTTCCAATCCATTGCTTACAGACAGAAAGTAAAAATGCAGAGAGCAAAGCAAGTTGCCTAATGCTTCAGAAAACAGAAGAACAGTAAAAATCATATGCTATTGTAAGAAAACAAATATACCAAAATATTTTTCCTACTGTTACAATGCCTGTTTGTGTAGGTATGCATGGGGTGATTACCTCTGTACACACAGGTATAAAGTAGATACCTGGTCAAAACATCCATTTCTGAGGTACAGCCATTTTTGATGCAGAATTCACCAGTCAATGTTCTGCAGTAACATTGTCCAGCAGTGCAGGGCAGGAGGAGTATTCAGAAGGCCAGTAGTTGTGTGTATAAATAATGAGGAAATTTAGAGCAAAACGTTACAAATATTGCAGTGTGGACTCTATATGGAAATGTAAAATTAAGTTGCACCTTTATTGCAAGGATTCACAGTACTGGCAAATAACAGCCTATCTGGATAAATCAAGTAGTACTTTATTTTTGTTTTGATGGTTTGTTATCATTCCTCTCTTTACTTCTGATTTTGTTTTATTCTTATAAACAGTGTCTGTGCTGGCAGTAGAGGAATATGAAGAACTTCATGTAAATTTTGAACTGGAAAAGAATCTACGGAAGAAAGCAGAGTCATTTGCACAAGAGGTGAGTAGTTCAAGAAAAAAGATCTCATAAAGTGAAGATCTCACGATTGGGGGAAAAACCTACCAGCCTAGATGATTCAGTTTCCGCTCCCCATTCTCATACAAAATATATCTTTGAATTTCTGTGCACTGTTTAACATCTGTACTTCATTTGTAAAATGGGTTTACTATTTCAACAGCATTTATCAAGCAGTGTTACTTCTTTTCTTTTTTTCCAGTGAGGCTTTAAATTTAGAAAGGGCTTAGACATCCATAATATTTGAATGCAGTATATGTAGCAGTTGAGTTTGGGAAGAATTGTCTGCCTTTCTGGTGATATAATTTAGAGCGTTGCGTTTTTCTTGAAAAATGTGTGAACTAACAAAAAAAGTTTTGAAAAATATTGTATTCAGGTTTATGCAAGTTTGTCTACTATTTAACAAGTGCCTTTAGGGTAACATCTGTAGGGAGAATTCAAGCTGAAAAAAATTCCATGTGCTAGAAAAGACATCAACTCCTGAAGAGGAAAATGAGCTGTGAGATAGCGTTATGGAATGGCTAATGATTGTTCAAACATCTTCTAGCTCGTAATGTCATTTGTCTCAGAGAATGCCAATAAAACCCTTTCATTATGTTGCTAGACCGGAGCCCTATAAAATCATGAATTTGTTTTTGTTTTGTTTTTCTTGTGATTTTTCTGTTTATATTCTGCATTTTGAGAGCTCTGCGTTTAGGTTATGTTTTCAATCTTTTCTATGCAGAGCCGTGCATATTTCCTTACCAAAAGTTTGACTTCCTAAGTAATCCTCTTTCAGGGAGTTCAGGTTTAAAGAAAACCATTATATACTGAAATTTGTGTGACTTGTCAGTACTGCAAAACTGTAAATAAGGGAAACATCTGAAGTCTGCTATGAAGTGGATTTTAAATTTTGAAACCATGGCTGCCAGCAAGTAGATATTTAGCCTTCAAGAAATCAGTTTTGCCTAAGTAGAGAGTTCATCTGCTTTTTATCTTCACTGCTGCTTCTCTTAAAAAAAAAAAAAAATCTGTCTGATAACTCCTGTACATCTAACTACACTCAGTCAGTGATTGTAAACAAGGACATATATTCATTTTGAAACTGTATAGAAAACAGTGAATATACTTATTGTGTGCTGTTACTCTTGTCTTTTAGGCTGGGTATTTTAATGCTTTGGATATGAACAGTATCATGTACCAGCATTTTAAGCATAATAAATAAACTGTAAACAAACTCAAAGATGTGGAAGTTAAGGGTGAAGAAGTCAACCCCAATTTTGCCCTCTCTCTCTGTGTGAATGTGCCATGGACAAAGGTTGATACAGCAGCTGTCAAGGGTACAGCTGAAAGCAGAGGTTCCCTTTCCTCTCTTTCCACCTTTTGCTACTCTTTCCTGTTCTCTCCTTTGCAAGTTTATCCAGTTGACTCTTTGGGAAACCTCTTGAAGAAGTCAAATTGGTAGAAAACAAACCACCTCTAGGTACAGATCAATTTCTTTTTCTATTATAGGAAACTTTGCATTTGAGTAACAGGGCCAATTACTTATCCTAATGTTAAAGGAGAAAGGTAATTGCAAATTCAAGTGTATTAAGTTTGGGCAGATTCTCATTCGTTCATTTAGGTATATGGTATATTTTAGCTTTAGATTAAAAAAAAAAAAAACTGTTTTACTTATTCCACTACTGAAGCTTTAATCATTTGATTAGTCAACTTGTAATTGAAGTAGATTTAAATTTATATAGCTTGCGCATATATACATACCTGCAGTCTCCTGCCTATGGCTGTCAGTATCTCTGCCGTGTGTTTAGAATATAACTGTACTTGATGCAAAGCTAAACCAGGTGACACTTACCCCCCAGGGAATATGAAATGATAAAAATGAAAATTGTTTAGTGGTTATTAAAATGTCTTTCCAACTCCCAGATTTTCAGGACAGAGACGGGTTTTGGAGGATGCTATTAAGAGTCAAGAGATGTAGAAGAGCAATCATTGAAGAGGAACAATTTATGAAATCTAGAAATCTCACATACAGCCTCCTCTGAACCCCGCTTTTACAGAGCTCTGTGAGTTGCAGCCCAAATTCCTCTGCTGAGCAAACCTGGCTACCTCTCATTGCCATGGCTTCAGTGTCATTGGGCCATTTAAATTTTGATTAAAGGCTCACTGTAGTTTTTCAGAAATAAAAATAAGATTTGCAAATCCCATTCAAATGTATTCAAGATAGAAGCATTTATTAGGGGCCAAAAGTGGTTAAATATTGCCTATGTCTATTGAGTATTAATTTGATTTTATGTGTAGTTTATAGCATACCAGTGTATGCTATAAAATGTTCCTGTAACGATTTTTAAATTTTAGGAAACCCGGGTTTTTTCATTACCCATACTTGCATGATAACTGTATTTATAATACACTTTTTTTCTTTAAACCTCACAAGACTGTGCAGACATTGCTGTTTTATTAGCAAATTCTGCTGAATATTTGTTGATTGTAATATCTGCAGAACTGATATCTACAGAATACAAATTTCTGAGAATGCTAAGCATATTAACTTAGCATGTGTTATTACAATATCTGTTTTACATCTCATACTATTGCTTTGCTTTATGTTGTGAAGTATAGAACAGTTATGTGCTTCTGTTTATTAAACGACACAGAAGATTGTATGTAAAGGCTTTATATCTCTCAGAAATGAGCAATGTATAATTGCATAGTTAAGCTGGTTTTCAGATCATAAAAGAACATTATCTGCTACTTTGGGCCTAGAATGTTTTTTCTGTTTAGATTCATAACTATAACATTCATAGGGCTATATATTTTCAAAGATGATATTTAAAGTGTTTTTTGTATTTGAGTAATAAACTGAAAGGCAAGCAAACTGTTAAGTACAGTGCCAAAGAAATGCTAGTTATTTGCAGACAAGTACTTCTTGCTCATTTTTTTGTCATGAGCTTTTGTCTGTTCTGAAAATATGGGTCCCTATTCTTGCAGAGTCACAAGCTAGCACTTCAGTTCAGGCTTTCCAGACCTGGAAGTTCTCCACTTCTAGGTGTGCTGGCCAAAATGGAGGCAGTCACAACAGCGAGCTTCAGGCCTACATTAGTCTTTCCTGTATGTACTCTCTTCTCTTCCCTTTGTGCCTTGCTCTTTAGAAATATTTTTGGAAATGGTTTTAAAGCACAGGAGCATATAACTGCAAAGCCACTTCTCAGATGTGTTTGAGGAACTGGTAGCACATCAGATTACTTTAAAAACCTGTTATTGTTGGCCTGGTTTCACACTGCTGGTGTCTCTTTAGTGATCTGAGGCATAAGATACACAGACCAAAAACCACAACTGTATCTGTGCCAGCAAAGCTTTATGCTCAGATGAGGATCTGTGTGGGCATGAGAGTCCCCTTGCACCGATCATATTACAAGGCTGAGGCCATGATTTAAGAGCTGGAGATGCTAGGATGTTCTTATAGGGGCTGTTTGGATTATGCTGAAGATGTGCTATGATTTTCTGCTGCTTGTAATTGTGACAGTACTCTGGTATTCTTTCTTTCATCAGCCATATGTTTTCTCTGTTCCTATAAAATGTTTCTTTAAAAAACAAAATCCTGCTGTTTTTTTACTTTTAAGTTTTTCAGGAGCTGCACCAGTTCACTGTAATGAGCTGTGCAATGTGGAGAGAGGGAACTGCTTTGAGTAAAGGGCAACACCATGTGTTTCATAGCATATTTCAGTATTTTTGTATTATGTTTTTGTATTATATTTGTATATGTTTGTGACATCTCAAATAGCCTAGATATGTGTCTTAGCTCACTGAAATACAGAGTCATTGTATGTGGAGGAGTGTGTCTGGTGGTGGACACACTCTTTTTTAAGGGACCCAGGTATATGAAGCTTCCCTTGACTTGGGGAGTTGGCCAGTGTATGGAGATTGACCACTTTCTCCATAGCATGGCTTCATCTTTTAGGTTGCCCTCTTGGGGTTGCATTGCAGCTTTAATGGGAGATCATATGAGTGGCTGGCACAGGCTGTATTTCAAAGCGATGATCTTTGCATCTTCTGCTTCTGATACGAGATGAGAATTTGCTGCAGAATGTGAGCAAGTGCAGGTGTGAGAGATAATGGTGGGGGGGGTGAGCACATGTGTATACGTGAACACAGATGGGGGAGAGAAGAGACAAGGAGTAAGGGAGAGGAAGGGAGCAAGTACCCATAAGAGTGAGAGAACACTTGAAAATCAGAGCTTTTGATTAAAAAAAAATCCAATACAGCTTTAATTATAGTCATGCTGCTGGCACCACCATAATATATATTTAATTAATCAAAAATGATCTAACTTCAAACATTAGAATTCATGCTCCTTAGAGGTTCTAAAGAAACTGAGTAAATATTGTCAGCTGTGGTGTGGAGAGGGGGAAGGAGAAAGAAAGAGAATTTGAAGTGAGTCACAATCCATTGTGAAAAGTACAGGAATCTGCATAAAAGAACTAAATAAATACAGTGTGTAAGGGGCGGGAGCATGGAAAAATCTGTACCTACCTGAACAAAACAGGGTTGTTAACACAGGAATCTTGGCAAGCTTAACTAGAATTCTAGTGTCATGTTTTAAGAGAGACTTTAAGATCTCTCGGCTCTTTGTGGAGCAGTTCATAAGAAAACAAAGGAAGGTAGAGAGTATCTTGAAGGCCACTGCAGTAATATAGAGGCTAGCGCTGAAAAGCGCTCTTCCACAAAGATGAGTAAAATACAATAGATACTACCGAAGCAAGCCAAAAGGGGTGGGACACAGGGAGAGATGCAAATTGAAAGTTTTAGTAATGTAAAAATCCCAGGAGTTTAATAAAATAATCTAGCATAAATGGTTTATTAAGCATATATCCTGCCTTGCAACAATATTTTGTAAAGTGAACTGTTTATTACTGTCGTGTGTGCTGGCGTGGGGACAGCTTCTGCACCTAAAGTTACTTTGGAAACCTCACTGAGAAGAGGCAGTGTGCTCCCAAAGTTAGTGT